TAATAAAATTATTGTAAAATTACTTAATAATACCTATTGCAAGGTAATATTAAGTATTATTAAGTAATAATATGTAATTGACTTTGCCCATCTCTAATCGCACAACGCGACAATTAATTGTCGGGAATCTGTTTTCGTAGGGATGGTAAAGAAATGTCTTTTTTTTTGTATTGATTTTTTTTTACTGATTTTTAAAACATGTTTTAAGAAATTGGTACGTAACTTTGGTGCAACTGAAACATTATATCTAATTGATTAATTTTAATAACTTCAACCATGATATTTATTTTGTAATAATTGTAACATATGACGATCAAGTCATTTGATATGTTTGTTTAAACAGCAAAAACATTTTTTAGGGCAATGTAAAACTGATTTAAATAAACTGTATTTTAAAACATTTGCCATCACTACTTCTAAAGGTGTAGAATGACAAATTTGAGAATTCCCCTCTAAAAATGTTCATTACTACTACTTATCGTATCGAGCTTTTTTTTTAATATAAAAAAAAAACATAAAATTGTTATTCATACATCACTAACACACGTTTAAATAACTTAAATGATATATTTTATCATGAAGGTTTAGTCCACTTTGTTAGGCTAGTTTGACTAGTTAGGTTTGTTATGCTTGTTATGCTTGTTATGCTTGTTAGGCTACGGTAAATCTACTATCATGAAGGTTCTTGTTAACTTGCGCATTCATAATTGCAAAAAATTCGTGTTTTGAATTAAAATGTTCAGAGATCTTAATTTCCGAAAAACACGTTTGAAATCTAGGTGTAAGTGCAGCTTCTCTATTCTCCCGAGCAATATAAGGTTTAAAAGTCACCTAAATCATAAGAATTAACAAAATTTTAAGAATTTTTAAAAAAAGTAATATATTTATTTAATGTTTATAAAAATATATAAACTATAAAAATTTACCGTTATTTCTTCTCTTGGATGACTGAAACCAGTAGTTAATCTGCAAAATTCTTGTAATTCTTCTTTTCGTTGTGCCCGCAACCACTCATTAAGCCAATTCCTAACCATGTTTTGACGTCTATTTAAATGAGGTGGGGCAAAAACTAACTTTCGGATAATGTCCTCAAATGTTATGGAATCCTGATAAAAATAATCTTTTATTTGTTCAATTCCGATTTGTTTTTCCTTAACAACCTATTAAGGATGTGAATATAAAAATTGATTGTATTAAAATATTTAGAATATTTGTAATAAGAACATGAAGTAATCTTTTAATAAAATACATTTAAAAAGCCAAACTTATTTAATTTAAGTTTGATGGCATTAAGCTGTTTAATTCGACAGTGAATTAGTACATCATGACTGATTTCTCTGGCCAATTTTCTTAAATTTTCTCTTGACCGAGAATACACCTGTTTCTGTATTTTCTATATTTTAAATTTTATAATATTAATTTCATTAATTTCGAAATTTTAAAATATTTTACATGATGATTAAACTTGATTCATACAGATATTTCTTTATCTTCAGCCCATTGGTCAAAACCATCAATAGTAGACAGATCGACGTCTGGATCGGCATTTAAGACATTCCTGGCAAGGTTACACATTACGGGATTGAACCTTTCAACATCCTTTAGTGTAATAGTACTTTCAAGATCTAGACAGTATTTGAACAAGATAATATCTAAATCTACAGGGAATGGAGCTTCATGAATTATAGCCAAAAATAGAATATCTCCAAATATCTAAAATATTTAATTAATATGCAAAATTATTAATGTTTTATTATTATCATTACAAATGAATAAAATTAGACATACATTAAGTTCATCCAAAACGCTTATTGGAGCGGTTGAACTGATTAATTTAGAACTATCGCCAGTGAACAAACGACCATTACCACCATATTCAGGATTTTCTAATGACATAAATGTATCTAGAATCTGACGAATAGTATCATTAAATGCACCACCACCATCAATAACAGGCCTTTTCATAAATAAAATTTAAATATTAGTAAAATTAAAATGAAAATCCACGTATAAAAAGAAATAAAATAAAACTAAGTTTTTTTAAAAAAAAATTCATACTCATTTCTAAATTCAATTCTCGGTCGTTGTATAAAGTCTACTTCTTTAAATAGTTTAATAGCTTCAATGAATTCCGAAAACATAAGTAATTGATTTCTTGAAGATAATCTAATAACTTTTCTATTTGTATGCGGATATTTTTGAATTAACCTAGTTTTAAATTGATTAATGACCGTCCTAAGGTCTAATTTAAAAATTTGTCAAATACAAAGGAGATCAAAATATTGATTCATGAATAGCGTAATAAGCAAAATATGCAAAATGTATAAAAATATATAATAATATACCATTTGAAGTAATCTCAATTGATGAAATCTTTAGTATCACTAGAAATAAATTATTCGTTAGTTATTACAATTATCATGACAAAAAAAAAAGACATTATTCATTACTTATAATCTTTGTCCAGAATAGAGCTATCATTAATTAAATGAACAAAGATTTAAAAATACCTTTATTTAAATCATCATCGCTTTCATCATTCAGATCTTCGCTGTAATATGATCGATTTGATTCTATATTTTATATAAACATTTTGATACAAAATATTATAAGACTTTACCATTAGGGAAATAGCGTGTTTCTATAATAAAATAAATTCAAAATTGAATTGATCACAAATATTAAAATAAAAGAAACAAATAGTTTTTCATATTCAATAATTTAAATGTTATTGAGAATATAAATAAGAGCGATCAAATTTAATGATGATTTGTAAAAAAAAAATTGCGCCATATTTAACCGAAATACATTGTTACAATTCAATTCTGAAACCTATTAATTCTCTTACCTGTAGCTTCATTTACATAACGTCCGAAATTTCCTCTGAAATGACCATATTGATTCGTACGAGGAGAATCCTCTAAAGGTAATTTATGTAAATTTACAAACATAATAAATATATCTAAACATATATATATATAATTTGTAACAATTCACAACTTACCATCTGTATTTTCATTTAATACTTCTTCGTTCAATGCTTCTTGTAACTGCATAGCAATGGCATAATCGTTTTCTATATTTTCTCTAGTTTGTTGCTCTTCTCGTCTATTATTAGTATTATTAGTTATTGGAACCGTCACTGAAAAGTTTTAAAAATTATTTCATTGTAATAATATATGCACGAATAAATGTATAAAGATAATATATGATACCATATGAAGAGCTTTCATTTTGCAATTCTATTTAAAAAAAAAAAAAAAAAAAAATTAGCTATTATATTTATTTTTAAAGTGTTCAAGTTAATCAAGTTAATAAAAGCAACTTAAATACCTTCAAATGATTCATCATTTTCATCGTCTTCATATTCGAAATATCTTGCATTTGTAAGAATTGTCTCTGAAGATAATAATTATAATTTAGAGCGAGGTCAAGTCTAACTAAAGATTCAATTAATATTCAGTTAAATTACCTTGATCATATTGTAACTGCAATGTCCTAGCAAAAATCGCATCTAATTCTGTGTCGTTATTTTGCATAGTATTAGTTGTTGAGGTTGTAAATTAATAGAATGTTAATGCGCTTGTTATGTAGTTTAAAAAGATATAACTGTCGCCGTAATCAAGAAAAGCGTATTTATTATTATAACTGAATGAGATGTTACGTAATACGGAGTTTATAATGCACTAACTTGACGATCATGCCATGCATATATCTTTATTCTTTCCTGACTCGAAAGTGCGGTGTAACATTCACTTACATCAAAAATTAATACGTATACAAAGTACATATATGATATATATATCGACAGTGGCTTCTGAAAGTATGACAATAAAGTATTATGCCTATTTTTTAACTCGATTAGCGGAAACTTCACTCAAAATCATTTCGGTTAAGAAAAAAAGAGTGACGCTTTGTTCATGATATAATGTTTAATTACGGAATTAATGTTATTAATTTTCGTGTAACTGTGTTATGTTTTATCCTTGTACGTACGTACGTACGTACATACATATGTATGTGGATGTGTAAATATGGACCAGTCTAGTCTAAATGATACAATTTCAATATTGTTTATCGGTAGGTCCTCAGCCTAAATATATATAGAAGTGAGCTAGCTTTTCTAAGGAACAATTAACTAATTACAAAATATAATGATGAAACCTTCTTACGCTATTACTTTTTATTAACTGAACTGGCATGAATGGCCGTTCGGTCGAATCAATAAAACTATTCCGGTTTATTTTCTTAATGACCCAAATAAACAAATTCAGGCCAATGGTTTGACAGAATTGATGATGTATGCACAAATTAAAACTGAAGTACTGTAACATTCTGAATTTTAAATACGTACGTACGTACGTACATACGTACGTACAGTACAGTACGTAGCATACGTCAATTTAGTAGCTAAGAGGCTAATTTTACTTGTTTTATTTTAGGACTAGCTCACACAGGCTTGATAATATTCCGAAACAACTGGAAATTGACTAACTTGGCAAACAGCAGTAAACTTAACGTTTCGGCCGACTAATAATAAGTCAATTTTTTTAGTCATCGTAATCTCAGAATTTTCACATCGACACGTTGTTGGAGTATTTTGAAAATGTTTGATTATATCTTTTAAACTGTCTCTTTCTAGATAAGATAGTTTGGTCAGTTAAGCCAGTCGTTACAACATGTTACTATTAATATAGCTAAAGATTATATACTACAACTTTAATTTGAAAATTTCACATATTATCGTTATATCGACATCTGTTTAAATTAATGATTATTTACAAATTATATGCTATGTATTAAGATTACGTAGCAATATTATATCTTTTATAAAATTTATTTCATATTACAAGTTAACATGTTACTTCGTTTTCGAATTCTAGAATGACTTACGCAATTAATTATAGATGTAAGTTAAGAAGCTATTAAATGCCATTGACATTAAAATAATTTTACTAATTTAATAAAAATTGCTTTTAAACTCTAACAACCAATTTTTTTAGCTTCATACAATGAGAATTTGACTTTTCATCAAGAGATGCGTATTATTTGATTAAATAGACAATCATATAACCTTTCTAAAAGCATATTTTAATAGTATATCAATATACTCTCTTATATATCATATTCAAAGTATATCATTAAATACGTAGTAGGATAAAAGACATAATTCTATTGGTTTGTGGGAATTTGATGATGGGAAGAACCTAGAATCGTAAAATCTTTAAATAGTGTGCTAAAAAAAAGGAATATGTCTTATTCTTTCGCAACCTTCGATTGGAAAAATAGATAATTATGACAAATGTTGATCTTCTCAATGCAGCCTTCACAGCCATGATGCCGGGCTACACTTTTGTGACAGAAAAAGAATATCATGAAAGAAAAAAAGAATATGACGAAAAACAAATAGAATATAATGAAAGGCAAAAAGAAGGATATCATGAACAACAAAACTCACATGATCTGATGATACAGGAGTATACCGTTTATCAACCTGTCGACATGTATGCATTTCATCAATGTATTCTTGTTGGTGGTGATGTTTATCTAATTGACAGAATTGACGATGATGAATTATCTTCGACATCAAAGTCCTTTGATAGCTTGACGATTAGTAATAATGTTACTGTACAAATATTTATAAAAATGCTCTGTGGTAAGAGTATCACACTTGAATGCCAATACAACGATACTATTGATACCGTGAAACAAAAAATTCAGGATAAAGAAGGCATCCCATCTAACCAGCAGAGACTTATTTTTGGTGGTAGACAATTAGAAGGAGAGAAAACTCTTAATTATTACGATATTACTAAAGGATGCACGTTACATTTAGTTCTGAATCTTCTTGGTGGCGGAAATGTTGTAAGTTATTTGAGTACGAATTTTTTAGAACCGAGCTTCGATTATGATTTTACAAATATTGATGACAAAGACTCGACATTTACTCGTGGAAATGTTTTATACCGAAGACCGTGTGGATGGAGACGTTTTGCCTTAAAGGTTTCTAAAAAATATGATAATGGAAATGATGGATGGCTTGGAACTGATACAAATGCCTGGCCTGTATCTTACCATGGTACTAGTAAAAATAATTCAAAGTCGATTTCAGAAGAAGAGTTTTTATTAAGTAAAGGATTGCGTTTTGCACACGGACATGGCATTTATTCATCTCCTGAAATGGATGTTGCTCAACGATTTGCTCAAGAGTTTGAGTACAATGATGATAAATATTTGGTAGTTATCCAAAATCGGGTGAATCCCGTTGATTTGCAGAAAATTCCGAAGGATATAACAAGAGT